TTGATTCCCGGAATTTTCAAAAAAGAAAAAAAAAAATTAAGGCCCGGCCCATTTAAAATCACAGGTTTGAAAGGTAAATCTTACTGGGCCATTGACAATGTTATGGTGGGGTTAGTTTTAAAACAAATACTCATATTTTGTGGGTTTGTTTTGACATTACTCTCAAATATAAGTGTCTTTTTAGCAATTCACAAAATACTGCCGGTGAAGAAGTTCTGTGTCATCGGTCTCCACCATTCTCTCTCTGATTTTAGGGTTTCGGAAATTTCTGGAGATTTGAAGGTATGTTCTCTCTTTCTTCGCAACGAAAGACTTTAGGGTTTTTAATATCTCAAGCTTTTCCTACTTAATCATGGTGTATCTACTAAGCTTGTTTAGCTCTTTCTATGGAACATTGCTCATAAGCTCATACCTACTCGTCTTGCTTGTGTTAACCATGATCTTTATTTCATGTAATCTGATGCTTTTTGATGAATTCGTGATAGATAGATCTCGAAAGCTTGCTTCTTTGTTGCTCATTTCTTCGTTTTTCGTTTGCTTTTTCTTAGAGCTTTAGCCAGAACCATGGATATTGTCAAAAGAGAGGACGATCCTATGGAGTTGTCTACTGTCCACTACGGTGCTCCTCAAGGACCTGGCTCCAATGGCAAGCAACGGACTTCGAGCTTGGAAGCGCCAATTATGTTGCTAAGTGGACACCAAAGTGCTATCTACACTATGAAATTCAACCCTACTGGTACCGTAATCGCTTCTGGATCTCACGACAGAGAGATCTTCCTCTGGAGGGTTCATGGAGACTGCAAAAACTTTATGGTTTTCAAAGGTCATAAGAACGCTATCCTCGATCTTCACTGGACAAGTGATGGCTCTCAGATTGTATCAGCTAGTCCCGATAAAACCGTTAGAGCTTGGGATGTAGAAACAGGGAAACAAGTCAAGAAAATGGCTGAGCATTCCTCGTTTGTGAACTCTTGCTGTCCTTCACGTCGAGGGTTACCGCTTATCGTAAGTGGATCTGATGATGGAACCGCAAAGCTTTGGGACATGCGTCAGAGAGGAGCCATACAAACCTTTCCTGATAAATACCAAATCACGGCAGTGAGTTTCTCGGATGCGGCCGATAAGATATTCACTGGCGGTATGGACAACGATGTTAAGGTCTGGGATTTGAGGAAAGGCGAAGCGATCATGACCCTTGAAGGCCATCAAGATACGATAACCGGTATGAGCCTAAGTCCAGACGGATCTTACCTTCTCACTAATGCTATGGACAGTAAGCTCTTTGTATGGGATATGCGTCCTTACGCACCACAAAACCGATGTGTGAAGGTCTTTGAAGGACATCAACACAACTTTGAGAAGAACTTGTTGAAATGTGCATGGTCACCGGATGGCAGTAAAGTCACAGCAGGTAGTTCGGATCGAATGGTTCATATATGGGACACAACGTCGAGGCGGATTCTGTATAAGCTCCCGGGTCACACTGGATCTGTCAATGAGTGTGTTTTCCATCCTCATGAACCAATCATTGGATCTTGCGGTAGTGATAAACAGATTTATCTAGGTGAAATCTGAGACTTGCCTATAGAGTGTAGAAAGCATTTGCTTGATGAGTATTTGTCTCTTTGGATTAAAGATAAGACAATCTTTGTATTGTAAGTGTTGAAACTTGAAAACATCTTGTTTTTTTTCGTTTTTCATATCCTTGCAATCGCAAAGTTTAACTCTTAAAGAAACTCTTTTTCTTGCTTTAAGGTTTTTGAGTATGAACCGTTATGAAAGAGCCGATCTTGATAAGTTTGCAGCCAATCTCAGGGACGGTTCTCCAGGATATCATCAAGCAAAGGCTGAGTATGAAGGTATGCGTGAAGTAAAGTGCTATGATTTGATTCCCAATGTGATAGATACCGCTAAACCGAGGAATGTTCTAGCAAGAACTGCTCATTATGTAAGAAAGTATTGCTAAAGGAGCAGTTACTTGTTTAGCAGAAGATACTTTCTTCATTGATTACGATCTAAGAACTAACTTGTTAGGTGAAATAGTTTATGGAGAAATACACTGTTTGGATCTGTCTTTCAGAGTTAACTGGGTTGTGCAACAGGTAGTGGCCCAGTTTTATACTGGTAAGCCAAGAGATGTGTATACACCAGATGATTTGAAGAAGGTACTATGGGAGGGAAAAGTAAGGGACTTAGCTAGTTTTGCTGCAATGACTGGTTTATACGAGAGGCATGTGAGTCCATCGGACGGTCAGAGGTTGCTTTCGTTCTTTTCAATGCAGTGCTTACGCGCAGTGTAAGCAGACTAGGTTAGTTAAAGGCTGCTTGATCTATCTGGACCATTTGGATAGTGGAACCAAGACATATTTGAGTGCTGAGGTACCAACTCTTAATTATAATGTCAAGGAGCATCTGAATACAATGAGTTTCAGCAACTCGGCTTATGTGTCAAACATGAAAGCGATTCATCATACAACTTGATATTGTATGCAATGTGTCAAGAGTACCGGAGCTCACCTTTTGGAGGTGTGGATCATGTTAAGATACCATCTGATGGGAAAGCTATTTAGTTGGTTACTCGCCGATGAAACGCTACGACAATGTTGTGGTGTCTCCAGAGCTTGTAATGCGTACATTGATTGAGTACTCAGATCAGTTTTGGCTAGAGGAAGAGCTGGAGTCAGCGATGATAATTGCGTGTTCGCCGAGACAGAACAGCTATCTCGAGAAGGTTGGTCTACCGACTGTTTTAAGCAACTGTGATTTGATCTACCCTGCTTTGAGTGGTAATGAAGTTGGAGGAGTAAGACAAAAGACTATCTTGTCTAAGCAAACAACAATCATGTTGGGTAGGTTTAACCAGATGGCTTGTCTAGTTCTATTCAAGGATTTCGACACTAGTTTTCGAAATGATTCGGATCGTTATAGGACCCAGAGATATTTAATAAGCAGAACATAAGCACATCCATATAAAAAAAAAAGATTTTAATTATAACACAGCAGCAAGAAAAGAAAAAAAAATCTCATGGTGATAGATTTAAAATCACCATGGGATATTTAAAATTCTATATAAAAATAATTTAAAAGCATGACGATTTAAATCTCATGGTGATGATTTATAATCACCATGAGATATTTAAAAGCAAGACGATTTAAAATCCCACTGTCCATTACTCTCTCTCTC